AGTTAGTTGTAGCTAGCAATTGACCACTAATTCTATAAATAGAATCAATGTACAAACGTCAATGAGTTCTACAGAATACAAGAGAAGAGAGTCTGATTCTCTCTACATTTTTCCATTCTTTTACCTCTTTTTTTAGCTCTTTTTTGATACCACGTGGTGTTGATGTCTAATGAATAAATAGTCAAGTTAAAAATTAATCTCCAAGGTCCAGTATTTTTGCCTACGGCCTATTTGTCTTTTATTAATATTAAAATAAAAATAATAAAATAGAGTAAAAGAGAAAGAAATTTTAATAATTTAAAAATAGAAATATAAGCAAATATATTGTTGAGTCATGATGTCTAACAGAACTTCTGCCTAAATCTCTCTCTAGGCATTGTCCTTTTTTTTGTTAGCCCGTTATTCTAACCTATAAATGCCGAGTGGGGCATGGAAGGTTTTGATCATTTTGTCAACTTGATGGGATCCGTGTCAACTTATATTTTAGAAGCTTTCATAAATACCGTCTATTTTTGCTTATGTGGCAAACTTTTAAGCAATTCAAGACTTGCATTAGAGATGTTATGCATTTAGTGGATTGCAACTGACAAGCAAATAGATGTATTTTCCATCCACGTAACATCGATGTCCATTGAATAGATGACGAAGCTTAAAATTTGTTTCCAGTAAATTTCTTCTACAACCCAATATTGCTGTTTAGGTGGCATTCATTTTCTAATACAAAATACTTCACAATTGCATATAATGGTAATCCGAACGGCGACAACAAGGTATTCCTAGTCCCTCCACCCACCTACTCTCTTAATTCGCCACCATCTGCATTTCTTCCATTGTCTACCACGGTACCACCTAGGGACGGAAATATAGTGCAGCCTTGGGCTTTAGCCCATGGCTGCGCCCAAGCCCATTAGCTATGTACGAAATAAAAAAAAAAAAAAAAAAAAAAAAAAAAAAACAAAACAAAACAAAAAGATGTCATCCTTTGGCCCCGTCTCGACTGCCACGGTTTCCAATCCTCAATCTGACGAAGCCGATAATCTTGCAATGTCTACATACAATTATGGATAAGAACATCAGTAGCTCACGTAAAATTAACAAGAAAAAAATTCATTATAGAAAAAGAACCAAGAAAGTTAAACTCATTAGAGCATCTCCAAACAAATTTTTTATTTATAAAGAGTATTTTACGCTTTATAGAGAGCATTTTTAAATTTAGAAAGTTAAAATTTTTTGCACTCCAACAATGCTATCTATTTTGATTCTTCATTTTGCTTTTCTCAAAAAAATTTATTAATTTCTTCTCCTAGTTTATTTAATATAATTTTTTATATGTCAATAGTCAGTCAATTTAAATATGATTTGGATAGTGTACGAAGTACATATTGAAACATGTGGCTTTTTAAATACAATCATTGTTCAATAAGAATAGAGAGTAAGTTTGGTTTTCTAATTTTGAAGAGTCAAACTCGCTTTCTATTTTAAAAAATTAAAATAGAGAGTATATTGAATTAGATTTTTAAACATTAGCTCTTTAAAATAAAGAGCATATTTTTATTTAAAGAGTCTACTAGAGATACCCAATGTTCTAAAAGGCGCGCCTTGGTGGTGCAAACGCCAAGCCAAGTGACTTGATCGTTGACCGCTAATGCACGCCTAGGAGTGATTAGGCGCGCATTATCATCTTTGTTTTAAAAAAAATTACAATTCTTTTAAGTTAAAATTTAAAGGCTGATTTCTTTACTTCGTCAACCCTAAATTCAAAACAGTTGCTTGAAGCTTTGAACAAAAGAAAACTCTAAAAAATTCCTATTTATTTACTATTTAGTATTTACATTTAAAACTAATCTCTTTTTTTTTTTTGGAGAACTTTGAAAAAATGTGTAAAGTTCCTATAAATCTATAAATCTGTTTTGGATATTTGGTAGGTATTATTTTTAATTATTAAATAATTTTTTGTTTGATTAAAAATTAAAATAATATAAAAATAAGAAACGCATTTTTACGCATATGAGAGCCTAGCCCATATCTTGGCCTCCACGCATCATCATGCATTTCGTCTTTTAGAACACTGCTTATGCCCCAATGGCTTCCATCATTGAAGAAAGTAAACTACAATTTTTTCGTTATCTAATTTTTATATTGCTGTTTAAGCACCATTAAGATGAGATTTTGGGGAAAAATATAATTTGAAGTCGAAAATAAGTTAAAAAAAAAAATACATTTTCAGAAAAATCGAGCCCAGACATGATGATTATTTCTAATAGGCGAGATGGATCTTGAAATGGGAGTCATGGCTGAGCCCTAATTGTCGTCATCTCCATCTTAACGCTGGTAACATCAAACTCTACGTCATTGTTGGATAAATGCTTTAATTTTTTTTAT